CACCTTGCCGCTGCCGCCCCACTTGCGGCTCACGCCCAAGCCTTCTTCCTCTTCTCCAAGCCTTCTTCTCCTCTTCCTATTGATTCAAGAGACCAAGAGATCTTTTAAAAGCATTTCCAAGCCTTATTTATAATTTCCCAAAAGATTCTTAAGTGTCTCTTCAAAACTGCCCATATTCATTGAATCTTCCAAATGGTGTCTGACGTGACTCTTCATAACTCCATATAACCGCCCCAAATTCTTCAAGAAAGTCCCATTTATCATTTCCAATAAATTCGTCAAGAGATGCATGAAGCAACACTTTAAAAATCGTCCAAATTCGATGTATATTTTAGAATATATGTTGAAAATCGTCTTTGGCGTCTAAGCGCCATTTTTGGGCGCTTACGCGCCCCCCTCTCTGTCTGGTGGCGCCTGCACACCATATTTGGGCACTTAAGCGTCGGGCACAGGCACTTAAGTGCCTGGTTTCGGTTCTCATGACTCCAGTGTGTCCCGATTCGACCTGATTTGTTTCGTATTGGTCCATTTTTGTTCATTTTGCTCCAATCACTCCAAATTTTTCAATTTGATGTATTTACAACCAAAAACATAAGAAAATATACCTTTAAAGTGCAATATCATTATAAAATAAAACATGATAAATAATACATTTTTAGGCGTATCATTTATATTGATAACACTCAAATCCTTAACATCATATAAAAAATATTATTAATTTTTTGAAAGTCAAATGCATCTTTTTACGCATAGATTCGTTAGCACCAAATTATTATAAATATATATGTCAAAATTTAGCCTTGGGATATGTAAATCCATAAGAATTGTGTGGTATCTAAATTTCTCTATGTATATACATGCAAGGTTCATTTTTCACTAATGAAAAGTTAATGCTTTTAAGTTGTTTGAATCTTAAAGGGCATTATACTATGCAAAGTTCAAATGTTATTTTTGGAAGAATTACATACAAACCAATCATCAATTCTTATGTATTTACATATTAACCCATACTCTTCAATTTTACTTGCATGCCTTCCGCGCTTTTCAGAAGTTAAAATGGTGGTTTCTTTAATGTGGCATGAAAGATTTGGCTGATATAAATGTAAAAAATAAAATTTTGATATTAAATATACAAATATATAAGAATTACTTGGTATTTATATAAATGCCCCAGAGCCATCAACTCATTTAATAATCAGGAATCATGCTTGTTTCATCTTCCACTCATAACAATCCAGTTAAAGACATGATTTTTTCTCAACCATTTTGCAAACGGACTTCATTCATATCGTGCAGGTACTTAGTCAAAGCACACATACAAGCCCTGCAATTCAACGATGCTGGGAAGTTGTGCAGAATGGCGCTGGATATACATAAGTCGAACAACGAAGTTCTTGTTACTCATGTCACGTCAAAAACATAGCTACGGGTGGTAATTTTATAGGTGCTCGTGATGGACACTCGGACCGGAGGACTGCAAGTTCTTCAAGTGGATCGATAATACGTCTATTTCTACTTTATCCTAACCGGACACCATTGATCGGGGTTCGATGGTATCACAACTTGAAGAAGTCATATTTTTCCTATAATTTTAACATATAATTTTTATATAGATGAATATTATCTTTTTTTCCTTGTAATTTTAACATGTTATTTCTTTTTTTTAGGTTTCATGATACACTTACTATTATGTGAGGTCTATATTTTTTTGTACTGTAGTGAGGTGATTTAATTGGTTTTAAAATATCTAATGGGTAGACATTGCAGTTTCGTTGAGAACATAACAACTTCTGTGTGACAGTTTGTTCATTTACTTTAAAAAAATCTGTAAATCAGCTCTTTTCAAAATGCACAAACCAAACAACTAAATAACTTATTCAAAACAAGAGCAGAATGATCATTTATCCAGAATCAGTTGTTTTTCAGACGCACAAACCAAACACCCAGACAGCTTAATCAGATCAGCTGCTGATCAACAGCTTATTTGGATAAACTGGATAAGATGCAGCTGCCCCAAACAGACCCTTAATAAAAATACACAACTCGATACTAT